GTTTGTATCGAAGGAAATATGTTATTGCGTACAATGCGCGTCTCTCGGATTTTACTCCTTTGCTCTCCAGTCATTTAATTTTTTCATGCAGTAAAATGAGTCGAATGATACCTTCATCGAAAGTCCAGCAAGTAATTGAAAAAAGTTACAAACTCACGACGCACATTGTTGACTTTGGTCTGAGGAAACTATTCCAATCATTGGGATCATTAAGAAAAATCTGGAACCACCTATTGGTGTGACACCCAAGTCAACTTGCCAAGTTTTTATGTCAGTGTTGGTGGTTTGACCAATCAACCAATATAGAACAGTAAAATTTCATCAAGTGTCAAATGATATTGGAGTTCCACAGGGTTCAATTATGGGTTCTGTGTTTCTCTGTAGGTAAATGACAGGTTCATCAACAGCTGACGCTCTCATTACGCAATATGCCGATGATACACCTGCAATTATATCAGATAGACTGGAAATCGATTTGAAATCGACTTGGAAAACAAATGTAATGGGGTGGTTTCTACAATGAATTAGTGGTTTTCTCAAAAGTTACTACTACTACAGAAAAGTTAATCAACGTTTATATTGAAATGCTCAGATAGAACAAAAAAATAATGTTAAAAATTTAACATAATTAGATGCGGTATTAGGTATATCAATTTTCTAGAATGATTTTTATGAAACTATGTATTTCATAAATATGACTGTTTTCAATAATTTTCTTCAAAACTTTATCAAGATCAGTCAAAGTGACTCCTAATTATTGTACTCACCAATAACTTTGCCATATTTTAACAAAGATAATTGAAAGCAGGGTAACTAAACTGTACTGTTGACGAAACCTTGTATTAGATCAGTTTATATTAGAAATGTTCCAATCAAATAACTATTAGGAATAACCTAATGTTCCTAATTTTGTTGTACATTTTATCTCTAATGGTTTTTCCAGTGCAGGAGCTATCATCATCATTTGTTCATCCGCGATATATGTGCACAAAATTTTAATTCTCGGGTAAAGATTTTTCAGTTGATTTGGAATTTGAAAGAACTTGCATGATGACATGGAAAGATCATTATTGAAGGAACTGAGATGAGAGAAAACATAGAAAGGCCTTTGGCAAGTTTTTTGATACTTATAGTAATTTGTAATGCACTGTTTGGAACCTTTGGTGTAGTGATGAATATTACTGGAGTTCAGTCCCAACACCAAACCGTTATTTTTAACACCTCGACACGTGTTTCAATCACCAAGTGATCGTCTTCAAGAGGAAGATCAAACTGTTTAATCTTAATCTGTTTGATCTTAATTGAAAGTTTAATCTTCCTCCTGAAGATGATCACTTGGTGATTGAAACACGTGTCGAGGTGTTAGAAAAAACAGTCTGGTGTTGGGACTAAACTCCAGTAATATTGACTCACAGAAATGTTGAAAAATTACACCGTATACTGGTAAAATTGTTAATTCAATATTCCCAAACCTGAAGGTTACTCTGATCAGCCGTGGAAAAATAAATTTCTCAGGGATCTAAATAAATGAGATTTATTCTGATTTTTACTATGAAAGGTTTACAAAAACGCGACACGTGTTTCGCTATGCCATAGCTTTCTCAAACAGGATTGCTGAAAGTGAGCATATTCGAGTCAACTTGTAATTATGGAGTAATTGTCTTTTATTTTGAATGGTTATTAACTACCATAATTGGTAGTATAATAATCGCTAGTATAAAATAATGGAATACAGTATTTATAAAATTAGTGGTCACTCGGTAAAGTGCTTCAAAGGAAATAGATAACGGCTAACAAGTTTTCAATGAAAGAGAGCGAGGAATTTAGGATATTCATTTAAGGTCAAAAATCTCTTGTGGCATATTGGGCTGAAAAAATGTGATATATTACCAAAGCTTTTTCATCTCAGTCACTGAAAGCAATCCGCCAGTTCTATTCAACAAAATGATCCTCAGAAAATTGTTTTCACCGACTACTACAGCCGAAATAAAAAATTCAAATTATGGAGTTAGTGATTGTTGCGAAAATAGTCCAGTCAATTATCTATCGATAACTTCAATTACTTGGCATATATGCATTCATTGACAAAAAGTGAGAAAGTCCAGAATAAGGTATATTTTCGACAATTTTTGAAAGGAATATCTTCCATAACTTGAAGATGATGATGATGATGAAGTTTTTAGTGACTAGGTACGGAAATAGTCCTGTACATAGCGGGATCAACTTTCCATTATTTGACTAGCGAAGCCCAATTAAGGTTTTATTTTGAAATCTTTAATTTTTACAGTATTCTCTGAATAGAAAGAGAAGTTGAGTATATTGTTTTCAGCTAAGGAGTAAATTGTAATTTGGATCTTTCACAATAGATGGTTCATCCAATATGAATAAGCNTGTTCCATTTGAAAAATCAAAGAAGCCGCTACTTTATAATAGAAGCGACAACGCCGCTTCGTCTAAAATATTTCAGGCGTGTAGGTCATATTGACTTATGCATACTGTGGAATTTTCAGGTTGATCCGTTGAATAGTTTGCCAGAAACGGCTAATTAACGGTCATCATGAAAAGCCCTGTATATCACAGTTATTATAAAACTAGACATGAAAACCATTAAGGATTTTTTTCAAATCCCAATGAATGGAAATTTTGTTAATTGTGGTTTGGTTTGTGTTGGTTCATTGATTTTACTATTATAGTTCAGTGAATAGAGTTTCCATCATGTATTTTCTTAAAAAGATTTGAGATTTGTAGGAGAGAAGATTGGCTAAGTATTTTCAACGAAATTCTTCGTTCGAAACCTTTCATTTGGCCGAATCTTCGATGAAATATAGATGCAGATGCAGATGCAGAAATGAAGGTGAAGTTCTCAACTTTGAAATAAATGAACAATAACGCTCTATTTACAGTAACTAAACAATATAAATGAGGAAGTATTTTGAAACCGGTATTTTGAAACTTGGTAAAGAAGTCTCATACACTAGAACTCATTTATTTCTTCTGCATATCTTGTATCACATTATAAATTTCTTCTCATTTATTGATCCGCTCTCTACCGCTATATTTTCTTTTACGATTCTTGGATGAATTGTACATGTCCCTTTGTTGCGTTGTATGAAGTTGAGGTATCTGTCATGAAGCCTTATTTTTCTGAAGCAGTTATCAATCCTTTTTCCGAGGGCCTTCATATGTGAGATCTCCGGTATATATTTTCAGTACATTATATATTCTTTATCTATTATTTATCCACCTCTCGATTTGTTTTCCCACAATAGATCAGTATTCCCACACCTAGTTCAAGATACATATATGATATTGATGATTCGTTTTTCCGTTACTTGATTCCTAAGCTTTCCAGGACTTCTGTATGAAGTCAGACTCTTTCTGCTTACCAGTTTCTTCAGTTCATCCTGACATTTCCAGAAAAGTCACATTGTTTATCTTCGACGTTTCGCCATCATCAAGACGAGTTACTGCTTCGCTTCGAGAGGTGTAACTGAGTTACACCTCTACTTCAAAATGTGAATATTACAGGAGTTTTTCCCAACACCAAATCGTTATCTCAAAAGCTCGACACGTGTTTCGATCACGATCATCTTCAAGAGGAAGATCAAACTGTAATATCTCAGTGAGTACGTATTCAATTCAATCGAAATAAGTACCATTTGAATCAATGCACGTTTGACAATGTAACACAAGCGCAATATTTCCGTTATCATGAAAATTGTGTGCTCGGGATTCGATGAAGTCGGCGAAATATGTTTTTGCCTGGTCCTGATGGGCGAGAGGTCTGGGGAGTATGGCGAGTGAGGTAGAGCTTCGAGACTGAATTCGTTTAATTTTCGGACGGTGATTTGTGACACGTTCGGATGAGCGTTGTCTTGGAGCAGGATCGGATCTCTTCTGTTGATCAGCGCCGGCTGCTGCTGCTGACGTAATTTTCGGTGCATTTCATCGATTTCCCTACAATTAGACTCTGCTGAGATGGTTTGACCCGGTTGCAGAAACTAATAGTGAATCACACCAGCCGCTGATCAACATACAGTAATCATGTTCTTTTTTGGTGTGTTTTTGCTTCTGCGAACTATCTGGGTGCCTTTTCGGTGTCCAATCACGGTCCTGAACGTCTCCTGTTGTCCTAGAGGATTCACTTTTTATCACACGTATCGATCCAAAAAAGGATCGTTTTTGTTGCTCAAAATCAAAGAAGAACAGACCTCGAATCGTAACTATTTCTGTCGATCATTCAAATCGTGAGCTTTTTGGCATTTCCAATACTTTTTAAACAATCAAAAATCGCATGGGAGCTGATGCCCAGTTCTTCCGCCATTCCATGCACCGTTTATGATGGATCAGTCCCCACCAGGGTCCTCAAATCTTCGTCCTGAATTACTATAGGTCGATCACTTAGGGGCTCATCTTCCAGGCTGAACTCTCCATAACGAAATTCAACAAAGTCCAGTTTAACAATGTCATTATCAAATGCTTGGTTGATTTTTCGGGCTGTTTCGGCAGCGCTTTGGTTCAATTTGAATTCGAAGAGCAAAATTGGCTTATAATTGCCCACCATATCATATAACAATAAGCTGAAGACAGGCAAAAAATAAAAATTTGGAAAAAAATTTACATCATCAATGTGTATAGTACAAAATTCTTAATCGATCAGTATTAACCACGATAAAATTACTCATAAAAAACCCTTCATTCAAGTAACTGAATTCTTGACTTTTTTTTAATTTTTTTTGAAGAAGACGATTTCAAATCAATCGCATTCAAATTGTTGATTTTTGAGTTCTTGTCTTCGAAGAACGTATGTGTTTTAGTGCAATAAAATCTCAGTGTTGCATTATAATGTACACACCCACATGCTAACAACTGTGCTTGCCTTATTCGTTGTGCAGAAATTTGATAAAAAATTGTAGCATGGTACAAGTGAATACGGCCTCAACTTACACCATTTTGCATAATTATGAAAGGTCCGTTATAAAAGTTCAAATAAAATAAACAATATTTCCGTCACACACGAAGGTCGTTTGGTGAACTATATAAACTAGGGTTGTACAGCGATTACATATTAGTACTGTAATAAGTTTGCATAACAAATCGGGAAAATGCAGAGCTCGGTAAGACAATTCAATCTATTTTTATTCTTCATGATTAGTAAGATTTGAAAACAATAGAAAATAATATTTTCAGCAAATATACTTTTTTAAGTAATTTTCTACTTTGCCTTCCAACTTCTTTGTATTCCTCCCGAGATTCTCGTTTGACGAAAAAATAGATAATATTCAATTCTATTCACGATATATCACATCTGATTTTAGGAAATTTAGAATTATTGAATTCAACTGGGATATAAAACTTTTCAGGGAGAAGAAATATACGAACAAAGAAATTAAACACAGAAAGTCTTGTTCAAAAATACAACAACTTGCCACGTATTTTGTTTTCAAACATAATTGAATACAATGTTTTCCTATTCTTCCTTCAACTTTAATCAAGAAAAAAATGTTCTTTATAGAAACTAATACTTCTATAATTTTTGGTTTATTGACTCATTTCAGTGTATTCGGTTCGAATGATCCTGGTATTCATTCATAAAATTCGTACTTGAAATTATCTATTGTGGTATGATATTATGAGTTTGATTTTTATGTGTCATTCAAAACTGAGATCTACAGATAATCCAAAAAATCACAGAAGTTGACAAATGGAACAGTTTTTGAACCAATGCAGTTGGTTCCATTGTTAGAAATGGCAGACACTTTCGAAACATTGAGTACCTATTGTTTGGAATCAGGGGTTCAGCTTTGGAAATGAACAAATGCAGTTTTTCTTAAAGGAAGAAGATAGGCATCGGTATCGTTTGTTTTCTAGTTTGGAACACTGAAGAAATTATCCGTTGTTAACATTTAAATTCAAACTAGTGTTGACTATATTCAATTTCGGAACAAATTGACCTCAACGTATCCGTTTCACTTTACTGTCATACCGCTTAAGAGATGAATAAATATAACATTAGAATTCACCGAATTCAGATTAACCATGAACTGGAACAATCTCATCAACGTTGAAAACTCACTCCCATGAGGGTGGATTTTTCATCATTCACTTCTGTTTTGAGTATATTTTTCAGTGGGCATTGTTTGTTAGCGAAATCTGATAATTACTAGACAAATTAATATGAAAAAGTGTAATTCACTTATAACCCGATATAAAACAGTTGTATTATGGTTGAACAGAGAGGGAGTCACAGTAGTCATATAGATATAGATATTATTGAGTTTGTATGCATGACCTGAATAAAAAAAAGAATTCGAGGACACAACACTCTGAAAAGAAGACAAACCGTGGACACGTGTTTGTGGCTGTTGGCCTCATCATAGAGGTTGATATGGTTTCTAATAACCAGGACTAATTGTATGTCTTGAATCATTTCAATGTCACCACGAATAAATGAACAAAAACGTCATAATTCAGATTCTATTGAGCCTGAAAAAGTTATAACGAACAGTTGCATGGCATTTTTGAATTGAAGATGTTGAATATATATTTTCTACAAAAGGACGAAACAACTATCCTGAATAATTTCTGCATTGGATGAAAATGTTTTTTGTTGGTGTTATCTTTCACGGTCTAGTTTTATGAAATTGTGTGTACATATATGAATATTTATATGATTCATGGGAGTTCAAACTGTTTTAGACAGTTTTAGCTCTATATATTTTATGAGTTATCGTCATTCTTTTTTATTCACTTGTTTTATATTCATGTGTGATTTCCCTTTGGAATTTTTATCAATAAATTAATTTGTTTCATTTCAGATAACCCTCGCTTTAGCGATCCTTGCCATAGTGGGAAGTTCTTCCGCTTCAGTCGGTCATGGCGTTGTCTTACAAGGAGCCCTTCCACTTTCTGGAGTCATCGCTAGTCGTGGTATCGTGGCTGCTCCTGGAATCGTAGCAGGCCCCGCCATCGTAGCAGCTCCAGGTCTCCTTGGTGCTGGTGCCATAGGAAACTCAATCGTAGCCTCTAATGCCGCCCTTGCTGCTGGTGCAGCTATCGGAGCCCACAATGCTGCAGCAGCTCATGTCGCCAATGGAATAGCTGCTGCAAACGGAATAGCTGCTGCAAATAGAATAGCTGCTGCAAATAGAATAGCTGCAGCCAATTCAATCGCTGCTGCGAATTCATTCGCTGCATCTAATTCAATAGCCGCCATCAACGGAGCTGCAGCAGCACAGGCTGCCATCAATGGAGCAGCTGCAGCACAGGCCGCCATCAATGGAGCAGCTGCAGTACAGGCCGCCAACTCGATAGCTGCCTACAATGGAGCTGCTGCAGCCCAGTCAGCAGCAGCCGCTCAAATAGCAAACGCTAACGGAATAGCAGCCGCAAGTCGTGCAGCGGAAATCAACGCCGCAGCCAGAATCGCTTCAGCCAATAGTCTTGCCGCAGCTAGCAGAGCTTCAGAGGCCCAATCCATATCCGCTGCTCAGATTGCCTCAGCTAACGGTCTCGCACTGGCCAGTCGCGCAGCTGAAGCCCAAGCTGCTGCTCAATACTCTGCAGCTCAAATCAACGCAGCTGCACAGGTACAATCTGCAAATCGCATAGCTGCCGCTAACGAGGCCATCGCAGCTGCTAGAGCAGCCGAAGCAGCTCAAGCAGCCTCCGTAGCACGTGCTGGTGAAGCAGCTGCCGTAGCACAGACAAGTCGTTTGGTAGCGGAAGGTCAAATAGCTGCAGCTGGTCAACAATCTGCAGCAGCAGCTGCTGAAAGAGCTACTCTGGCTGGTGCAGCACTAGCTGCTGCGTCCAGGCCAATCATTAGTCCAATAGTAGCTGCCGCGCCAATTGTAGCTGCTGCTCCCGTTGTAGAAGTTGGCCCCCTTGCTATCGGATCATCCCTTGCAGCATCAGCTGCCCGCTTGGGAGCTGCTGCTAATGCTGCCTCCGCAGGGGCTAGTTTACTGGGAGCTGGAGTTGGCTATGGTGCTGGAAGTTTGGGTATTGCCGGTGCTAATATTGCTCGAGGAGGGATTGCAGGTGCAGGGATTGGAATAGGTCATGCAGGTATTGCTCGTGTGGGTGCTGGTTACGGACATGCTGGTAGTCGTTGGTAATTTTGGAACAACAACGAGGAGATTCATGCTGACTTATTTATTAACTTAATATGATTGTTACCTCAGTCAAAATATAGTCAATTATTTATAACCAAATGCGAATAAACAAAATACTGAACGCTTACGTTTCATTCTCACAAGGAAGTACATCTTTCAAAAACCTAAATGTTATCAAATACATAATAATAATAAATACATAATATTAATGAATGTTCTTCATTTCACTAGAACAAGTTGAGCAGATCTGTTATCTACTTCAAACGAGTCTAAAATATAACAAAAAAATAACATTTTGAATAATAGGAAATCATTCATGATGATAATCACAAATTTTCAGAATATTCACTCCATTTCCAATACGCGTTTTATTACATAGTTCAATTCTTAGTTGGAGTGGTCCAACTGATTTATTCAACTGAGGATGCTACTATGTAGCGAAAGACTTATTGGAAATAAATTCTATATTTTGACAATTTGTAATAATTATCATGAATAATGTTATTAATTTCCATCAAGTAACGGATCAGTGATCAGTTTATTCAAAATTCTATAGTTATTTTTTTTTCTCGTACAGCGTCATTAAAATTGAATGAACAATAATACCTGAATCTGTTTCATGGATTGGTTACCATTTATTCAGAATTTTGAGTAAAATGCATAATCTTTTCAAACCAGTACATTGAGTCTTCAGTGTCTTTTTTAAGTGTTCGATAAATGAGTGGTATAGTCAGTGAGAGATGATGGAGCGTGGTTACACCTATCTGAAGAGGATTCATACGTTATTAAAATATTTCGATACATGTTGTTCAGGTTATTGCTCACGTATTTGGCCTGGCCATGTGAGTCTGTTCGAGAGGAAATCTTTTCATCTAATATTTCAGTTTCATTGTACTTAAACCTGTGGTCTTTTTCACTTGGTTTGAGCCATTCAATAATCATAACTCTGCAAAATCATTGTTATGTTCCTCCAACCTCCATTTCGAATCTTGTTAAGTTTGCCCTATATGCATTTAATCATAATATTTTCTTGAATCCAAATGTAAAACGGAATGCAATCTCAGAATTCAATGTGTTGTCTTAATTTTTTGACTCAATATATTAATATGCTATCAATCAGAATGATGAAATAACCATCCGATAGTAAAATGTTTATAAGTGAGGAAAGTGAATAAAAAAACAATAAAATGGCTCTGAGTAAATACCAATTCGGAGCGGATCATACATTTAATTCCAATGAAACTAAAATATTAGATAGAGAGATATCTATTTTGAAATGGCTCATATCGAGAGTAATCTCAAGTCCATGTAGCAGAAAATATTTTTGTCCAAAATGTGAGACTTGTTTTCTGTATTTCGCCACATATCTGGATATCCTGGATTTTCTTAGTTCTTGAAATTGTTGGTCACTTGTACATTAATCGGTACATTGTTCATTATGTGCATATCAATGATATGTTCACAAAGTGGGATTAAATATCTAACATAAGATAATAATCCAAGGTCTTTATACTAGGTCTTAGTCATTATCCCAATTAAGGTGAACCGTTACATTCCATTTTCATGAATAATTGTTAATTGAAATCAAATGAAACATTATTTCCTTCTCTTTATAACCTGCGAACCTTCAAAATGGCGAGAGCGCCAGGATATATTATCTTTTTTATTTTCCTATGTCACACTTCTTCAACTATGGGACCTCATTATGCAAAAAAGACAAAAAAATGCTATTCAATTGGAATATCATAACTTGCATAGATTAATCCGCTTAAACATTATGTTACCTGATTCATAGAAAACAAATCTATTGACTTGCCGAATTTTGAGAAAAGTCACTTACAAAGATTTGTTTTCTTTATTGACCCTAAACAATATAACTCACTACCTTTATGTTTGGAAGAATCGAAAAGGGAAAAAGCTTTTTCTTTAATTTTGGAAAACCATTGAATACCTCATATTGAATACCTAGTTTACTTTAAAACAAATATTATCATTCACTTTTATGATGTTATTCTGAAAATAATGTTGAGCTGTTGAAACCTGTAAATCTAAATAACTATCAAATATTTACCTCGTAACAATTTCTGTACCTCTTTGCTTTTTATCAGAAATTAAAATTCAAAATGCAGTCTTTTAGTTGGAAAATATATGATTTGTATCTTTTCTGTCATTAACATACTGTGCCTTCTTTTTGACGTTGGCGATCTGTCAGAATGTACCGCCTTGTCTTATTTTAAAAGCATCCTGCTCTTCCATTTGATGGATCTCTTCTAATGTCGCCTTTTTTTGGGAAACTTCGTTTCCGACATACAATTCACTTAATTAATTAATGCTCTGTATGACCTCATTGACACTTTCCTCAATCGTTATTTTTTTGTTTTGGATAAGACTATCATTCTCAAGTTCATTTTCTTTCTTCTGGGATTGATTATTGCAACTATACTAATATAGTTAGGTGTAGATCTACCCCGAGAACTGCTACATTCTGGTGTTCTCCAAATTGACCAAATCAGTCACCCTATCGATATCTGCCTCATACCCTTGCAAGATATTCTGCAGTTGTTGATGTCTGCTTCTGAGTTTGCTCTGGTAGACTTGCTTTGTGTTTAATTATAGAGAGTGCCTTTCCAGAGCGTGTAGTATCCTTTGATAATCAGTTCAGCTACTCTTCAGAATAATGTGGACTATTCTCAGTAGCTGACTTCGTGGTGATACAACTGAGACTTTGGCTTTTTTATCTGCTTCAAACGTTGGCATTTGCGACGGTACATGGCCCAAGAGCACTCACCATCAACTGCAAGCGACTTCAATGTTTCATCTAAAGATGTCTTCGATGTTGAGGTAGGATTATTCTCATCGAAACATATGTACTCTGCTTAGGGAAAGTCGATTGGCCATGTGGGTATGCTCTACCACGACTGGGTTATTGATCATCTTGAGTAACTTTTTTTGAGTCATCTTATTCTGCCCCTGAATGTCTATCCCTGACCCTAGACTTCCTCAATATCCTTTTGCATTTGTTTGATTTATCAATCAAAGATTTGAATACTTTAACTTTTTTCCTACGAAGTTCATTTAAGTGCTTTTCTGAATGCTGATATTTTTGTTCTAATGGTTTTAGTGAAGTTTCTGGTTCCACTTCACATTTTTTCCCCTTTCTTCCATCTCTTCTCTTCGTTTCCTTTTTTCCTTCCCTGCCTTTTTTCTATTTTTCGATGCTATAGTTATTAAAGCCTCTAATCGTTGATTCTCCTCTTTTATCATTCTTGTTGACCAAGTTGTGTCAACAATGTCGCTTGATCTCTTCTGCTTCTTCCCTTTCTTTCTCTGATTTCCCTTTTCTCTTTCTGTTCTTCACTGAATGACTTTGAGGATTTCATTTTGTCTCCATTCGTCTTCATCTTGTATTCACCATATGTCCCTGAGTTTCCTTCAATTGTCTCTCTTCAGTAGCAGTAAATAATGTTACATTCTTAATAAAATTCAACATAAAATTCAACAACGTCATTCAATACTAGAGACGCATGTGTAAAAACATAAGGAGAACATTCTGGAATGTTTGTAGAATGTTCGGGAATAGTCAGAACATTTGAAAAAATCCCGGAACATCCCAGGTCACTGCGGAACGACCAAGGGAGTTTTATAGTGTGGTAAGTATCAATTCTTCATCCGTGAAGAAGGTACCCGTTTCTACCTGAAGGACTTCAAAGTATAGAATAGAACATACGAGAGTGTTTATGAAACACTCAATATTGTATTGTATTCAATATTGTATTCGTTTCAATAGATGTCCACTATTCCAAACAATAAAATGGGTACAGTTTGCAATCCACAAATGATAGACGCTTTCTTATCTCTCAAAAGGATAAGTCAGCGAAGAAAGCTCGCATGTATAACACTACCGCCTCGACTGAAAAGAATAAATAATACACACATAAATAATATACACACAAACCATTCTCTTGAATCACTCTGTCATTAATTCATAATATGCATTGATTCAAAAATCACAATTAACACTATACTTCAGTTGCAATTTGAATCGTGTCCTTTGGAGGATGATTCGTTCTCCACAGGACACACAACCTTTACGAAATGATATTTTATTTTAAAAAGTTGATTTTTGTGGCCCAGATAGACACTTCTCCTAGATAGGTCTGTTTTGATCCGCCCCTTTATAACATTACCTGAAGTTTAATGTGAAAATTAGTCTCATTTCATCTATTGGTCACATGTTTTCCATACCATATCTTTGAAATCAATATTGAATTAACATGGGGCAGAAATTATGAGATCAATTTCAATTGTAACTGTCTATAAAAATTCCTCATTTTACAAATTTCATAAAAAAAACTGTTTATAATATTATCATTTCTTCAACATAGTCCAAGGTTCAGCCCATGAGGGTTTCTTTCAGTTATATAAATGAAATTACATTTATTATGGCTTCCGATGGTTTTAGAAAATTGCGACAAAGAGTTTCTTGATATCGCTCAAATTTCAAACATGAGTTTTCTCAAGCACAGCAAGTATGAAATGTACAAAGACTGTAAAATGAAATCGGATAATCATGCAATCAATCCAAAATTTTATGACTTCTTTGGTTAGATGATTAAATAGTATTAGTAAATAATAAAAACTCGAATATCCTTATTTCTAAATTCCGTTCCAATTAACATGCAGCTTTAAACAAGGTGTGGCGTTTTTATGTTTTAATTGCCTTATATCAGAAAAAATAACTTATTCTATACTACCTATTTTCTTGGTGAAACTTTCATTCCCATATCGAGACACACATATGTCCACACCCCAAGGAAAGATCGGCCTACGAGAATGATGCAAATCCTAATGCGTATTACTCACAATTTGAGAAGTGTAACAAAGGAAAAGATTTGAGGTTTTTCAATCTCGTCAGCATTTAATTGCCTTTTTTCAAATCAGTTGAAACAGTTTTCAATACGCTAAAATGTGTGGAATAAGTGATTTGTGATACAATTTCTCCACCCATAACTAAAACAATCATCAAAGTGTAGTGCAAGGTCGGCTTTGATCTATATATAAACGAGGGTGTAGCTTTTTGAATTATATTGTCCTTTGGTTCAATTCAGCAAGATCACAATGAACGCATTGGTAAGACTTCCAAATCAATTATAGGAATTTAGTATATTTCTTTCAGAAGATACATTTTTTGACAGGTTCTATTCAGTATTTGAATTAAAATCGAAAATAAAAGGAACGTAATGATAATTGATAGAGAAATTCTCCCCAAAAATATTGAATTATGATTGATAATATTCATCGTTGAATGACTGCGTTAATAATGGTTTAATAATTGGTAATTAGGCAAAAAAACATTTAACATTTCACTGTTGGTTTCTTGAAAAAATATATTCAAAATAAGTTGTGTTGTCAAATAAACTACAATGAAAAGCCTGGTGGTGAGAGGCATCATTACCAGGCCTTAAATTCAATTTATATAGTTCAATATATTCGATTTTTCAGTTATATTTCAATGAATGACGTTTTGAGTAACCTTTTTTTCATTCACTACAATCTGCATTCAGTATTTCCCACATATCGTTTCTGAAGATTTTGATAAAGCAAAAAAGCCTGAAGAATCAGGAATCTCCTCAAATCTTCAATTACATTTTTCAGAATGAAATTGAATCAAGAACGTCCATTAGCTGTTACTAAATTTTTAAATAACCGCCAGAGTCTTTGTTGAATTTGTCATATTCTTTCGTATTGACTTTGCATGAATGTATTACCTTCTGTCATCTCATGACTAAAAGTGGACTCACACATGATGAGGAGTTCATACCTTTTTTTTCATTGACAACGTCTACAGTGTCCGATACATTCCTTTTTTGTGTCTTCTAGTTGGACAGTACGTAGTGGGTAGCTTTGTAACAATTCTATTTTCGGAATGACTTCTCATTATTCATTCTGTGCACTTTGGTTTCATGTGGTTAGTTGACATGTTTGATGTAATCTCTCTACATATCCCAAAATTTTTCCAGCCTGCCTTATTGTTTCATTTGGTCACCAAACATAGGACGCTTCGCATAGTCGTTGCTGGTTGAACTAACATTGTACATAATCATCACATCATGTCTGGCTTCAGCCTCTGTTCCTTTTTTCCACCGCTTGATGGTCACGTGACTTGTCCATTAGTCCCAAGCCTCCAAAACACTGCAGCTTAATGGGCTTATTGGGTTTTTCTCCCATCTTTTCCACGACACCCATTCTAGCAACCTCATGATCTGTGCTATAACAGGTTCCTTGCTAGATGTATGTCATATTCTTCTGGACATGTTTCAGGGAGTCTATAAACTTTGTTCCTCTCCTGTGATTCAGTGCCTCACATTCCCACGAAATATGATGAGAGGTTTCTGCCCCTTTGTCACATTGCCCGCAGTTGAGATCTCTGTTGTACAGCCTTATTTCGTTAGAGTATCCTCTGGATGAGCAGTATCAAGTGAATAGCCTGTAATTGTTCTGAACAGATTTTTGGTTTTGTTAAAGCAGTTCTTTGACTTGTTTTTCGGAAGGCCTCTTTGTAAATGTTCCCTTCAGTGTGTGTACCCAGTAATTTTTATGTTTCTTATGGGGCCGTACGAGATATTTTGGTAACCCCACAGCTGGTCCAGGGCCTGTATATGGAGTTGATGATCCATATTTGATCCATGTTTGCCTTTAATTTGGTGCACATGATTGGCATCAGTACTTGATGCGCATTTCTATCCATTGCAACTGAATGTTGGTTTCAGGTCAGTCTGGTAACTAGTAACACTCATCTAGTTAGGTTCGTTTACTCTCTTCTTTCGGTTTATAGCTCGTTTCCTGAGTGTTTTCAGAAATTGGTGATTCAGATTCAATTTTTCCTTGCCCTTTCCTTTGAAAGTACCCAATGAAGCTCTAAAAAATGTTTGACGTGGACAAAATTGACCAACATATCAATAACAAAGTAATCAGACAAGTCATGAAAGAAAAAATCCAAAACCTTCCTGAAATCGATTAGCACAAAAATTATGGAAAGTAATGCAGTTTCAAGAAACTGTAGGTACTAGAAATATTCGAACAAGCTGAAACTTGAAAAAGTGCTTAGTTATCAAGTGTTATTCGAGAGAATTTCGAATTTGTTATTTAACAAGTCATATGTTAATTCACAATTTCATGTTTATGCCTTTATTCAAATAAATTGTTTTTTTGAAATAGTATATTATTCAAGTCAATTTGCATCTGGCTATGCTGTCTCACAAACATAAATGAAGTAGAATTCCATATAGATTCCTTTCACTCCAACTAATCTGGCTGTATTCTGGCTGTGGACCAATGGAAAAATAGACCTATTTAGCCTAATTTTTCCACAAGCCCCTGTATGTTACTGCCGTATGTGAGATCATTTTCTACTTTCGAAAACTGTTCAAAAAACGACAAACAGTCGTGTTGACAGATGTAATCGAAATTTTATTCTCAGTCAATAAATCAATATATCTATGTATCATTGTATCATATTGATTAGATTCGTGAATGGAATATTTCAACAAATTTGATACTTGGAACTCGAATCATCAACATTACAATCACCAAATTCACTCACTGTTAACAACTTTCTTCCTCACCAGATTGTTGCCTTCTTCGCCACTTTGGCCCTCACCTCTGCCGCCCCCTCTGGATTGGGTATAGGTTTAGGATGGGGAGCAGCAGGTCTAGCAGCCCCAGGAGCAGTTTTAGCCGCCCCTTCTGCCACCGCTGTCATTTCCGGACCTATTGCTAGAGGCGCTGTTCTTGGTGTTCCCGCTGCTGGAGCAATAATTGGTGCACCTGCTGCCGGTATTATTGCTGCACCAGCTGCCATTGCCGCCCCAGCTGCACTTGCTGTCCCTGGTGCTGTTGCCATCACTCCTGGAGGTGGTACGTAACTTAGATCTTTCTTTTTGTGTATTTGATAAGGTCGTCACATTGTTAAAAATGCATTAGGACGGCCATGACATTCAACATGTCAAAAGAAATATTTTGCTGAGTAGATCGAAAAGTAATACTTTTCCCTTTGACAATTCCATTAACTTGAAATATTTCAAGTGAAATTCCATCAACTTCAACATTTAACTTCTTACGTATCACTTGCAGTTCACATTCGTTTCAGATGGTACATCAGTCTACAAAAAAAATCTATTTAAATCTGTTTTTCCGTTAACCAGTTGTCGCTTCCCTACAACTCTCAGAAGGCAAAACGTGCCAGACAAAGACTTACGAGGTCTTACCTTCTAAAGTGCGATTCCTAGCACGGAGAAGAGAAAGAAGTATGTTGTACATGTAGAAGTTTAAGGAAGTTATTTTGTTTTCTAATAAATATGTTCACTTCTTTGAGCATATATAACTTTGTTACTTATTTTCCTTAATTGTTCTTCCGTGTACATATGAGAAGGTGATAACTGAATGTCAGTGAATGATGAATATTATAGAACTGTTGCGTGGAGGGATAAAAGTTTTTATGTTTGGGGAGCTGTACAACGTGAAAAAACTCACCGCACAAAATAATCCCAATTCTTTTTCGGAGTATTAGGCAAATCTGTTAAATTTGTTAAAATCTGTTGAAATCTGTTAGCCAGCTGTCGTCCCCCTATGAACGACAATTCTCAAAAGTCGAAGGTCTAACAAGGTCTCACCTTTTAACTCGTGATTCCTTACACGAAATAACGATTATATATTCAGAAGTTGATCAATTTTCAGGTGCCGTTGGCGTGAGTGCTGCAGGTGCTGTAGTGAGTGGTCCCAGGACTGCTCCAGTAGTCATCGCTGGACCCTCTGGAACTGTATCCGCCAATGGACTTTGGGGTCCAACTCTCGCCGGAGTTGCCGTACCAGCTGGACACGGATGGTAGACCAATCGATTCTAGAACTGGTTAACTGATAATTCCGATCGATCTCTTACGTCGATGGCTATACTAAAAAACAAGACTTATTATCTCTAAATAACCTACTCGGCGAACGAGTTTTGTTATGTACTCATCTGTTGTGACGAAAGCAATAAAGAATTATGTTTTTTAAACATTTATTTTGAGATTTTGTTCTGATAACAATAAGGAAATAATGTTTTTTTCTATGACTACTGAAAAAAAAAACAATTTTGTGACTGACCGTTTCTTGTTGAGTACGCAGAGTAAGTAGCCGAAATAGCCCATAATTCACAGCTTCTCACCAATCACAATTGACCAGATTCATAACTCACTACTTTGGGATCAATTACGAAAAAACTGAAATGAAAATTCGAGTCAAACTTTGTTGTGAGATTTTCACTGAACAGTTAACAAAATCGCAACACGTATTTTGCTATACAATGCATACTCATACACACTCGAGAAAGCTTTTGTGTAGCGAAACACGTGTTGCGGTTTTGTTAAATGTTGGATGAAAATCTAAAGCGGCCTATAGACGTCCAATATAATTGCGCAATATTTTGGTTTGTGTATTATAATTGTTCGTCAAAGGGCCATATTGAAAGGTTGTGCAATATATTGTGTGATTTTCAAAATCTTGAAAATAATTCTTTTAGATTTTTTGCTGATGCTATTCAATATTGCATAAGTTGGCACCTATCTTTTGGCTGACACACTTATATTAACGTACAGCCGAAGCTACTGAACCTACAATCTTGAAATATGCAGGTAGGTTCTTTGTAAAGCGTTAATAAGCATCAAGAAAGAGAATCAAAAATTTCCACCTCCAACGGGAAAAATTGGGGTTTAAAGATCGAATTGAATTTCGTCAGTTTCGAATTTAGGAACCTGAAGTTTTGTATTTTATTTTCTGATTGATTCGGCCGTTACTTGAATGAAGGTTCATAGTAGTTTCACAAACTACATCTAACATGCGAAACATGCCGTGATATATTTTTTGAAATTAAAGTTTGTGAAGATCAGATCGTAAGGTGTAGTTTATGAAACTGAAGTTTTGGGTTGATAAGAAAATATTGTAACTATTTGTTTAAAATGGTATACCACAGAAATGAAAATATGGACCTGGGATGTGAAAATAGTGTATCCCACCAGAAAAGTGTAATGTAGTGAAAAAAATTGATATTTAAAAGTGCCTTACCCAATAACGAAATCAGAGAAATTACAATAAATTACCTTTATGACAAACCAATTTCTAAGCATTTCGAATTATATAAGCAACTTGTCATGTAGGAAGAGCTTTCTGAATCCCGTCATGGTCCCGCCCACTAGATGCGCGTTCGTTAGAAGACTATGAGAGCGAGCGAGAGAGAGAGAGAGAGAGAGAGAGAAAGAGATAATTCTCGAGTCTCTTTCTAGATTTGACAAGCTGTACATTTACTCCATAATACAGTTTCGCAAAATAAGTGACCAATAAATGACGTGAAAAGTAAAAAATATGAAATCGAAATCACATCTTGATTAACTTGAAAAAAAATGACAATATTGTGCCTATTTCTCAGTAGTGATAATATCTTATTACCTAATACCTATTTGTTTATTAAAAATCTACTAGTTCTACCAGTTATAGTCATTCATCTAATAAGTTTTGTTATTACCTACTCTTATATAAAATAAATCGTAGAATCGTTCGGTTTCCAGTAACTGATGAAGCTACCGCGTAGCGAAACGCGTTTTAATTAAAATTTATTTCGAAAATATTATAATCAGAGGATATCTGTGCAAACCAGTGACTTATCCAAAAAGGGGCCTATTTTCACCATATTCAATAGCAGAAGTTGAGAAAATAAAATAATGGTGAAATATTTTTAATTTTGAACATTGTTTTAATGAGACAAACATGTTCGTATGAAACGGATTTTTTAATGGTGTTTCGACCCTGTATAGCATGTTAATCCTATCAAAACTTGACTGGATATGACTACAGGCAATTAAAAATTTAAAAATGTTGCCCTCAAAATTGACACCCTGGACACATCACAGGGAGAGGAGGTATGAATGCTGGATGAGAGCGTTAATTTTTTTGAGTGCGTGTTTCAGAGCCGCTGAAAAACGATTTGAAAATCGAAGCGTTTGGAAAGAATTTCCATATCTTCATCAATTTTGAACCGATTTTAAGGATTCCTTTTTTAAATACTAAGTAACTTTTGAAAAAACTATCATCTGGCATAACGGTCATACCAGAAATGAATAATGGTGGTAGTAACAAATGCGGTTATAGTAATGGACACAAAAATTCGAAGAAAAAAAAACTCCTTCACAATTTTGGAAATTTCTCCTTCAAAATTTGCAAAGAACCCCCTAAATATTGAAAATGTAGGACTATATTGGAATTTCATGAATACTTTTGCATGAATGACATTGTAACGAAAAAAAAAAATTGTTGGCTCCTGATCAAGATAGCACCGTTTTTTAATGTGTGTTTCTTGCCAGGATCAAATATATGTTTGAGGGTAAAAAAATGAATTGAAAAACGATGTTCCACTAGTAAAATTTCGGTCTAAAAGAAAAACACTTCACTGATATGGAATGCGTCCAGGATATCAATTTCAACGATACGTTCTACTGGTTATTTAGGAATATTCGCAAAATATTAAAAAAATGGTTGAACATTTTTCGTCAAGTGAAAGAAAATCAATTACATCATCATGCCAAATTTCAGCCCCCTTGGTCCGATTTTGACGAAATGAAAAATAACCAAAATTTCATAGATATAAATTGATTGTGATATTGATTCAAAAACCGACTAAAAACAACTAGAATACATAGACTCTTTATTGAGCAAATATTGCAAATAAATAACAGACTATACATAATTTACAACTCATTGACGTAGGTATTGATGTAGTAGAAGGTTAGATTGTAAAAAATTATCAGCAACATTTTCGGTAAGAAAAACTCCTAGAGATACTACTCTATGTGTTTTATACAAACTGAAATGTTACCAAAACGTTTACAAGATGACAATTTTTTGTTCAGTGTTTACCAATGACCTGCCCATCCTCCGTGTCCTGCAGCCCATCCACCATGTCCTCCCCAAACACCTGCACCAAGACCAAGAGCACCTGAAAAAAAATTATCGAATATTTAATTTTGAAGGAAATGATATTCAATTCACTATCAGTTTTGATTCTCAAAGTAATGTACCGGGAGAATGTGATATTGATTTTCAACAAAATCTTGTTCCTAATTCAAAGGTGTTTGCTAAAAATGAGTTTGAATTCGATCAATGTTCGATTTCTGGCAGACGAGTCACACACTTGTTTTGAGAAAGTCATATAAGGGGTGCACAAGGTGTTAAAAATAACGGTTTCATGTTGGGATAAAATTCCAGTAATATTCATAGAGTATTCTGCTAGAAAACATTGAGGGAAAGTATAAGAGTATTAAAAAAAATCTGGTGGATTGAAATATCTTCTTAGCAAACTTTTCACTGAGTTTTCATTGAAAATGGCTGCATTTAAGAACATACAACTTTTGACATCATTTTTGGCATAACTCTTGAGCTTTTTGGGATGTACTCATATCATTTAAAAAAAATCATGTGGAATTCGAGTGAAACAATATATAGCACTTCATTCCGGAAACTTTAAGAGCCCAATACTTCTACTTGGTACCCTGTATATTGTTAAATTATTTTGTACTGGATTTTGAATTTCCTGAATCAAAAAATTAGACTAAATTCGACAATTTTTCTTGATGAAGGACGATTCGTGAAATAATGAACAATATTATTAAAAATGCGTTCTAAAAGTTTCCTTTAATAATTCAGGAAGTTTAAAGGCAAAATATTGCATCTATAACGTTTGTTTGGAGGTGGATGATATGAAGGGTGGAAATGTATTGTGTTTTTTCTGCATCTATATGTATCAGCTAGAGAAAGAACAATTTTCCAGCAAATTGGATAAGAAGGAGTGATTCACTCGAGTCATCCGTTCATCCAAAATCGTTTTTCTGCAACCTTTGCTGCCTCCTTCTCATCACGTCTCAGAATTCTTTAGAGATTTTGCATGAACTTAAGTGTCATTTTTGAAAATGTGATCTGGAATTTGACTCTTGAGTTTTGATTCTTCACTTCCACAATGATGGGTAACTTACTACTTACTTTTGTAAAAAGTAGTTACATTGTGAATTTTTTTGGTGATGTGATAATATTTTTCATTATATGATTGCAAATTTCATAAACTTATTGGCACTTAAAATGAGTATATTCCAAATATATTTGTTTACTTTGATTATTTACAAAAATGTCAATTGAATTCGAAAACAAAAAAGTAGATTCACGGGGTATAACTATGCTGTATGAATAATGATCACAGCACTATTGAATGACATGGTGTTTCTGTATATTCATAAACATTTGAAACAAAAAATAACGACCGTTTCGTAGAATTCATATTATTCGCATTATTTATTATATTTCTGCATTATTTATCATTTCAAAGAAGAAGTAAATTCTTGGGTAGTTCACATAAACGCAACATTGAACATTTCACGGAAAATATTTATGATAGTTATCGTTGATCTAGTGGCAATAGATAAATAAATCTTCCCTATAAGGATATGGCGGAAAAAATCTTACCAAGGCGTTCATGGTCGAGATCTTGTTGAGTACAACTGAACAATGTAATTCGAGTAACATTCACCCTAGTTTATATAGTCATTTTCCGACCTTCGTCTTCGGCAAGGAATTGGCATTTTTAAATAGTTCATACTCCGGATCATTAGAATCAGGGACGGCCAACACCCATCAATATTGCTTTATGTTAAGTCACCGGGATATGGAAAAAGTGGATTGAACGTGTTGAATTGATTTGGGCCGCGATGCGTGAATTTCTTTATTCTGCAATCGTTGAAATAGGTATATTCAGCATACGAAGGAACATCGCTACGTTTTGAGATTAGGATAAAACATGAAATGAAGTAATTATTACTCTTGATGAAGTATTGATTATATTATATTGATTGAAAGTGATTAAATTTAATGATTATTTCTCTTGCTTAGTCTATTTCTAAATCATGTGTCGTTTATAAAAAGAAATGAATATATCAAATCAAAAAAAATCAACATTCGTTCGTTTTTATTTACGATTATGCAAAA